TCATTTACAATTTGCCTCCTTGGTTATGCATGAAGAGAAAATATATGATGTTATCTATGATGATTTCAGGACCTCGACAACCAGGAAATGACATAGATGTATATCTTAGTCCTTTAATTGATGATTTGAAGATGTTGTGGGAAACAGGAGTGGATGTATTTGATTCATATCACGAAGTGAATTTCGAGTTGCGTGCAATGTTATTTTGTACTATAAATGATTTTCCAAAGATATGGTAATTTGAGCGGTTATAGTGTGAAAGGTCATTTAGCGTGTCCTATATGTCAAGAAGACACAAGTTATATCCAATTGAAACATGGACAAAAAACTGCGTACAATAGGCATAGAAAGTTTCTAGTTGCTAACCATCCATATCGTAAAATGAAGAAAGCATTTAATGGATGTCGGGAGAATGCAGTTGCATCGAGTACTCACGCAATGGTGAACAAGTATATGAGCAAGTGAAAAATATTAATATTGTGTTTGGAAAGACCCAAAAGAAATCCAATGAGAAAAACATTTGGAAGAAACATGACTGTATTCTTCAATCTTCCTTATTGGTGTAAGTTGGAAGTTAGACACTCGTATAGATGTGATGCATGTTGAAAAAAATGTTTGTGATAGTGTAATTGGGACATTGCTTAACATAAAAGGAAAGACAAAAGATGGAATAAAAGCAAGACAAGATTTGGCGGACATGGGTATACGTTCGAATTACATCCACAATCAATTGGAAAACGCACTTACTTACCTCCAGCTTGTCATACTCTATCAAAGAAAGAAAAGAGAAGCTTTTGTGAGTGTTTACGTGAGGTCAAAGTGCCACAAGGATACTCCTCAAATGTTAAGAGTCTTGTGTCTATGCAAGAGTTGAAATTAGTTGGTTTAAAGTCTCATGATTGTCATGTGTTGATGCAACAACTTTTACCAAGTGGCTATTCGAAACATCTTACCAACTTCTGTTAGAATTGCTATTACTCGGTTATGTTTGTTTTTCAACGCCATTTGTAAAAAGGTAATTGATCCAAAAAAGTTAGATGAATTAGAAAATGAAGCAATTGTAATAGTGTGCCAGTTAGAAATGTATTTTCCCCTTCATTTTTTGATATCATGGTGCATTTGATAGTCCATTTGGTAAGGGAAATTCGATTATGTGGTCCAATTTTTCTTAGATGGATGTATCCTGTTGAGAGATACATGAAGATCTTAAAAGGATATGTGAAGAATCGAGTACAGGCCGAAGCTTCTATTGTGGAAAGGTACATTGCAGTAAGAAGCCATTGAGTTTTGTCAAGGATATATGTCAAAATCGGAACCAATAGGTATTCCTAAGATGAGACATGATGGAAGATGTGAAGGTAAGGGTACTCGAAATTTGAAGATTAAAAATGTTAGTCGGAAAGAAGTTGACCAAGCACATTTATACATATTGAACAACACCGATGAAGTAATCCCTTACATATCACAACACATAACTGAAATAAAGGCAACACATCCACGAATGAATGAAAAATGGGTATTGAATGAACATAACAAAAGTTTCCTTTCTTGGTTTAAAAAAAGGGTATATGTTGAGATTAATGCTTCAGAAACACTTTTGAGACTTGCTCGTGGGCCTAATAGTGATGTCATTACATTTGGTGGGTATGACATTAATAACTATTGTTTCTACTCAAAAATAGAAGATGATAAAGGTAGAGTACAAAATAGTGGGGTCACAATTCAAGTCGAATCTATGCATTTTTCTAGTTCTAAAGACAAAAATCCTATCACAGCTTTCTATGAGTTATTTTGGGGTCATACAAGAGATATGGGAAATTGATTATGTTACTTTTAGGGTGCCTGTCTTCAAGTGTAAATGGGTTGAAGGGAATACTGGTGTGCGAACAGATGACCTAGGATTTACTTTGGTTGATTTGAGTAAAGTTGGGTATAAGGATGAACCTTTTATTTTGGCATATCAAGCGAGACAAATATTTTATGTCAAGGATCCATGTAATGAGAGATGGTCAATTGTCCTAGAAGGAAGAAGCATGCACGGAATTCATGAAGATGAGTCTCTAGATATACATGAAACACCTTCATTTTCAAGTAGACCATTTGATGACATAGTTGACAATGAAGTTGATGACCTACATGCAATTCGAAGTGATCATGATGAAGGGATATGGGAAAACATACCAACATAATAGGTGTTTATCTTCACATTTTCTAGTTCTTTTTATTCAAACTTATAAAGTATGTTGACTTCATATTGTTTTGTTTTTCGAGATATGTCGGATTCCACAACTGGTACTGGAAGTGGTAGTGGCAGTGGCGGGAGCGGAAGTGGTGATAAAGGTAGATCTGTCACTCGGTTAAAGGGGTTGACAGCAAGGAGGGTACTACTGTTGATCCTTCAGGAGAATATACTCAGACTGATGCATCACACCAGTGTGAGTTATATGTTGAAGATGACCCCCCGCGTCTAGTGGCTGTTGGTCGAGTTTTTGAGGGTGGCTTAACCATCCATGGTGTCCCTCTACAGCCAGACTGGACACGAGTAGTAGTTGATGAAGTTAATGATGCTAATGCTCCAGTGCCTTTTCCTAATGAAGAGATTCAATTAGTGGGGCAGGCAAGCGGGACATTCTTGGCTTGGCCAAGACGTTTGGTTATGCCACTATCAGCCACGAGTACATCAACGTAATATATATATATATATATACATATTGTCTATTTACTTCTTTTCTAGTATTATAATTATATAAATGTTTAATTAATTGTTATCATTTGTTTAGGAGGACTTGCGTCGTGCTAAGCATAAAAAGCAACCTATTATTGATGAGGATCTGATGAATGTGATGATGATCCCATCTCTATGTTGTTAGCCGTATTACCACGGTTGAGGAAGAGACCGTGTCGATACAATGGGATGTTAGAGTGTTTGGAATTGACAATTCCAGTTGTTCCATTGTACATTTCCTTGCCCGATGCTTTAGAAATTGCTGGGGAAATTGCATGTTAAACATTTCCATCATACAATTGTGGGCAATGTAAGTCATTTTCATTTATGTTTCTAAGATTATAATAATTATATTCAACTTATAATTAATTGTTTTAGGTACCTTGACAATTTGAGTGTGGAACAAGAAAAATCCGAAGTATACTGGATTTATTGAGCCTCAATCCATCCAAAAATCTGGAAATACAAAGGTTGGAATCCAACAATATATGCAAACATGGATGAGTGACTCAAGAAGACATATATATTTGGCTCCATACATTGAAGGGTTAGTATTTTAATTTGTATTTTAATTTATATTTTTGTAACTAATTTTTATGTCATACAATGTAGGTCCCATTGGCAGTTAATTGTAATCATACCCCGGGATTACACTCGTGGTATGGTTTTGTTCATTACATCGGAAACCGAGTCAAGAAATGAAAAGCTTATTACAAGGGTAACTTTATCTTTTATTCATTAATTATGTTTTTAAATTGTGAATACATATTGAATAATATATGACTTTTTTTCACTTAGAATCGTGTATCGGAACTAATGTTCTAAGTGGAAAACCTAGAACAAAGACATTGCAGTTCATTTATCCTAAGGTTAGAAACTTATTTATATAAGTGAATACCATAATTATTGTTTATATTTCAATTTTGAAAATAATATTATGTTTTTTTCATCATTTCAGTGTAATAAGCAAACCGACTCGTTTGAATGTGGTTACTATGTAATGTATTGGATGAGAGCCATAGTTTGTGCGGGTTTAATTGATTCTTGGACTGGAGGTAATTACTTTTAACATTAGTTAAGTTTATTTAACTTTATTCATGTTGCATGCTTACAAGAGTCAAATTCATGTTTCAGGTATTTCAAGATCCATCTCCATTACCGAATCCGAGATTACGTAAATTAGAGAACAATGGGCAAAATTTTTTGTTCTACAATTCTAGTACATTATTTTTTATGTTCTTGTTCATATTATATTGTGTGTATTATGTAGTTTAGTTTAGTTTGTATAGGTAGCTTAGTTTGTATAGGTAGCTTAGTTTGTATAGGTAGCTTAGTTTGTATAGGTAGCTTAGTTTGTAATAGATTTTTTAGTTTGTATGTTTGTATTATTTTGTTTTATTATGTAGTTTGAATTATATAATATTATATTTTTAATTTACTAGCAAAAGAAAACTGCTCTGGACTCGTCTGGTTGTAATTTTTGCATGTTTTAGTTGTAAAAGCAGAGTAAATAAACCCAATTTTAAAAAAAACAGATAAATTTACGTCGCATATTGGTATATACGACGTAAATTTACGTCGCATATACCAATATGCGACGTAAATTTACGTCGCATATACCATATGCGATTAAACGTTGTCTAGGCTCACACCTACCTTTGGCCATGAAATATGATTTAAATACTCTTAGCTTATTTCAAATATTTTCAATGGAAGTTTTGCATCGTTAAAGAAATTTGTTTATTGTCCCTATGGCACATAATCTAATGCATGAACAATATCAATAACCAAAATGTTGAGTCTTTCGAATAAATTTACTACGAAGAAGTACACATTTTTAAAGATTGACATCTTTTTTAACACTGAAAAGGTTTTGACAACTTAACTTACTTGTATATGTCATCGCAAACTTATTGTTGCCATTTTATCGATTAATCTTTGCTGGTATGAAAGATTGCAACGTAAATATACGTTTAATGCAGTACAATTGGACTTACGATACGATGCTATGAAGTGCAGATGCGCCGAAAAACCATTATGTTGCAGTCATGAGCCATAATATTTAGACCATGTTTCTGACTCCAAAATTTGGGGCAGGGGGCATGAATTTGTCTTTCGAGTTTGTTTCAGTACATCAATTTTGACTACTTTCCAAACAACTTTCATCTTCACATCACTTCCACAAAGTTATGAACAAAACTGGTGCTGTAATTAGTAATGTAGTATACATATATAAAATTTCAAGTGTTTACCACTCTACTTTCCTACATGAAAACTATCTACTAGATACAACATCTGCCTTCTCCTTTTCCTTCCATTCTAAACCTATAAATCTACATGGTGAGAACCTAACCTTGTATTCTGAAATGGGTTCAAGCTTAGGTGACCAGGTCTGGTCTTTGGGCTTCACAAGCATCTGATAGTGTTTTTTCAACTCAGGAGTGCTGCACAGAAAGTTGGTGTGATTGGTGGTGAGGGAGCATCTTTTACCTCTATTGATGAGCATTGTGATGAACTCAGGCATGACCTTGATCAACACCCTTCCATTGGACCCTTTCAAGTACTCAAAAGCGCATTCTCCAAATCTGATAGTGGCCTTGTTAGGGGATGATCCCAAGGACAAGAGTGAAGACACAGAAAGGGTTTTGCAGGTAAGGAAATCACTGGGGAGAACAAAATAGGCTTCACCTACCATCAGCTCATCCTCTAAAGCCAAAGAAGGAATTGGGTGTCCTATGAAGAAGGAATCTGCATGGCAAATAACCTTGTCTGGGAACTCAAACATTATCTCACCAGCAATGTGCTTTCCCTTGAGACATCTCACAGTACCATCCCAGAACAAAAGTTTCGATGAAGACAACAACAACGATGACGATGATGAAATCTTTGGATGTAAGCATGGAGTCACAACTGCATTTCCCATTGTAAGAGGAAGAGATAGATGTTGTTGTTTTGCTTGGTGTGCTGATGAGTGAAGAATGTGTAAGAATCATGAATATTATATAAAGGGGTGAATGAAATAGTTGACTTTGAATAAAATTGACTTTGATGAAGTCTTTAAGGGTTGTTTGTGAAAGGCGTGGAAGGGTCGGTGGGGTTTGGTCAGCCATGCCGGCTTTGAGATTTTTGATTTGTTTTCGTTACACTCTTGAGTTAGACTTGCCGCAATAACAAATCATCATTTCTTCATCTTTATTTATTTGTCATTTTCTTTGTTGAAGAAGTCACACGTAGATTAAACCTCGGTCTTGTATAGCAATGTTATATTCAAACTATTAGATGGTGGTGTGTTTATTCTGTGATGTTTACGTGAGGATTTTCTACTTTTCCTAATATGATCCATGTATTTAGACATTTATGATCGAAGGTTCTAACTCCATGAAGAGAAACAGAAAGATTCACGAATATTCGTATGGTATATATATAACAACAATGGAAATTTCAAGTGCTTCGGATAAGACAAATCACTCATGCACATATCGGTCAAACGGACTGATTTATTTTTTACATAAGAATTAACGATGCCAAAATATCCCTAGTCTTTAATCCGATAAAAATAGATAAATCCAAAGTAGATCAATAATTTTTATATAAATTTATTTTATTGGTGTCTTTTTAAAATCACTACAAAAAAAATGTTTATTATCTACGGATTTTTTTTCGTATGTAATTTGGTCGTAGGTAATTACCTACGGATACGGATTATAATCCGTAGGTAATGCACTCACCTAAACAAAATATTTTTATTTATTACAACCCCCTCCCTTATTTTTTATTATTACCTAGGACCCCCCTCCCCTTTATATTATATTTTCGAAACTTTGAATTATTATTAGATTAAGGGAATTGTCATTGGCTTATTACAAGCCCCTTCCTTATTTTTTATTATTACCTAGGACCCCCCTCCCCTTTATATTATATTTTTAGAACTTTGAATTATTATTAGATTAAGGGAATTGTCATTGGCTTATTACAAGCCCCTTCCTTATTTTTTATTATTACCTAGGACCCCCCTCCCCTTTATATTATATTTTTAGAACTTTGAATTATTATTAGATTAAGGGAATTGTCATTGGCGGGATTCGAACCCAGTATCTCGAGTTGGAGGTCGATACTCCAACCACTAAGCTATTAGGATATTTTGATAATAATTTACAAATAAATTATATTTATATTTATCACGTAGTATATATATAAATATAAAATATATAAATATAAAATATATAAATATAAAATATATAAATATATAAATATATAAATATAAAATATATAAATATAAAATATATTTATATTTTGATATATTTATATATTTATATATTTGTATTTATATATTTGTATTTATATATTTGTATTTATATATTTGTATTTATATATTTATATTTATATATTTATATATTTATATATTTATATATTTATATTTATACATTTATGTATTTATATATTTATGTATTTATATATTTATATATTTATCTATTTATATATTTATGTATTAATGTATTTATATATTTATGTATTTATGTATTTATCTATTTATGTATTTATATATTTATATATTTATATATTTATATTTATGTATTTGTGTATTTATGTATTTATGTATTTATGTATTTATATATTTATGTATTTATATATTTATATATTTACACGAATAAATATAAGTATAATTTAGTTGTAAATTATTAGTAGAATATTATAATAGTTTAGTGGTTGGAGTATCGGTTTTCAACTTCAAGGTATTGGGTTCAATTCTTATCCGTAGGTAATGTAAAATTTACCTACGGATTTGTATCCGTAGGTAATAGGTTTTTTTTTGTAGTGAATATATATTTAATTATATGATTATATATTTTTTAAGTTTTATTTATTAATTTTTATTAAATAAATTGAGAAAATTATTATATTTGTGTTAATTAATTATAATTCATAATTTAAACTAATTGATTAGTATTCATGTTTTAAATTATAATATTACAGTATATTTATTTATTTCAATAATATATCATAAACAAATTAATATTTTTAATTATAATACTTTTTATTTTTATTTTAATATATAATTTTTTTAAAAGTAGATTAGTGGATTAATTTGTCTCATCTATCCTTAGTTTGTCAGGTTGTAGATGATATGGGACAAAATTTCCAAACTAAAATTACTTTCGGTCAGTTTTAATAAAAATACCAACAAAATAAATTTAACCTATAATTTCACATTTGACTAACAATTCTTTTGAAGAAATTGATTAGAAATTTAAATAAAAAAAATGTGTTTTTTGTTTATGCTTTTGTCAAATTTGCTTTTAGAGTTATATCACTACTACAAATAAGGCTTTCCACGTCGGTTACGGAAGACGACGTTGAAAGTCAAGACTTTCCACGTCGGTTAAATAAAGCCGACGTTGAAAGTCCTGACTTTCAAATCGAAAATTTTTATTTATTTCCAACCCCTCTCCCCTCTCTCTATTTATCTAGAAATCCCCCTCTCTTTTATATTATATTTTTATTAGGTCCCTCTCTCCTCTCTCTTTTATATTATATTTTTATTATTTATCATCTTTTTTTAAAGTTTAGAGCATTACCAAATTAATTTTTTGTCACCGACAGGATTCGAACCCAGTATCTTAGTGTTGGAGGTCGATACTCCAACCACTAAACTACTCGAATTTTTTGATAATAACTTACAAATAAATTATATTTATATACAAATAAATATATATCCGTGTAAATATATAAATATATAAATACAAATATATTTATATATTTTGATATATTTATATAATTATATATTTATATGTTGGATGTGAGGGCACGCTCGAAGGTGAAAGTGTGTCGAGTGAGTTTTCAAAATTTGATGTCAAATTTGTGAGCGAGTCTCTTTATATGGGTTTGTAATTTAATGACGGAATATAATATTTATAATTTATTAATGATATAAAATAAATATGAGAAACGCATCATTCGCTCAAGCGAAAAATACCAATTTTCGCTCAAGCGAGGCTTGAACGAGTGAATTTCCGTGAGTTTTAACGTATTTTCACTCAAGCGAGAGTCAATCTCGCTTTCACCCTCGAACGCGCCTTCACATCCAACATATAAATATATAACTATATAAATATATATAAATATATCAAAATATATAAATATATTTGTATTTATATATTCTATATTTATATATTTACACGAATATATATTTATATGTATATAAATATAATTTATTTGTAAATTATTATAAAAAAATTATAGTAGTTTAGTGGTTGAAGTATCAATTTTCAACTCTAAAATACTCGGGTTCAAAAAATCTCGTTAGTGACAATTCTCTAACTTAAGTAAATTTTTGGCTGAAAAAAAATAAAAACACTTTCCAGTAAAATATATATATTTACACGGATATATATTTATTTATATATAAATATAATTAATTTGTAAGTTATTATCAGAAAATTACCGTAATTTAGTGGTTGGAGTATCAACTTTTAACTCTAAAATACTGGGTTCGAATCCGTCGGTGACAATTCTCGAACTTAAGTAAATTTTTGGCTGAAAAAAAATAAAAACACTTTCCAGAAAATATATATAAATAAATATATATTTACACGGATATATATTTATTTGTATATAAATATAATTAATTTGTAAGTTATTATCGAGAAAATTACAGTAGTTTAGTGGTTGGAGTATCAATTTTCAACTCTAAAATACTCGGGTTCAAATCCTGTCAGTGACAATTCTTGAAATTAAGAAAATTTTTGGGTGAAAACACATTCAACGTCGGTTCATCTGGGAACCGACGTTGAATGTCTAAATTAAAAGACTTTCAACGTTGGTTCATCTGGGAATCGACGTTGAATGTCTAAATTAAAAGACTTTCAACGTCGGTTCATCTAGAACCGACATTGAAAGTGCTTTCTACGTCGGTTGACTAAGAACCGAGCGTAGAATGTGTCCATCATTCCACTTTCAACGTCGTTTTTTAACCAACCGACGTTGAAAGTGTATTTAACGTCGGCTCAACTTTAACCGACGTTAAATGACGACGTTGAAAGTATATTTTGTAGTAATGTATCATTGATGAATTAGTTTTTTACTCTGAAAAAGACATAAAATTGGTCTTTTTTTATGTTTTGAATTTTATTTTTAATAACAGATATTATCATTACAAAATTAAAATCAACACTAAATTTACATATTTTCTACAAGTTAAAATTTAAGGGTTAATTTATGGATTTAAAAAGTACATTAATTAAAACCAAGCGTGTCTACAAGTTCATGACTACAATTTTGTTTTTGCCAAAATTTAATAGGTATAAAGATTGATTGACAAAATATTGTATGAGTGTATGAAGATAATTTTTTTTTAAGGAGTGTATAGATAATGTTAAATATTAAATGTTTTTTATAGTATTTATTCTCTTTCAATGCTTCCATCACTAATTTTGATTATATATATTTTTTTCACTTTTCCATTACTACTATTTTTCGATTTGATAATGTTAAAAAGTATCACCACTTATTAAAGAACTTTTTCTTTTTTAGAAAACTTATTAAAGTAATTATAACAAACAACCACATATTTTTATCTAAATCTTACAAGGAATGTTAGAAGTAGTTTATTGTAAAAAAAAATCGCATAAACTATTAACAATTCTATTATTAGTGTTGCAAAGATTATAGTATTTTTTTCCCTAGTTCTTACACAACTTGGAAAAAACAAGCAATTATTTGTGATGATTATGTTATGATCCTAAACCCAATTGCTATGACGAATGAACCGACGTAAGATTTTCAAGGAAATAGTGCGTGTTTTGACGGAAAACAAAAGCCAGGGTACACAAAGTTGACCATCTATCTTTCTGCATTTCAACTTTTTTAATTCTTTAATACAAGTTTCGTTTTTTTTTTTTTTTTTTTGACAACTTAATACGAGTCTATCTAGCTAATTGTATAAATTATTGAATTTTTTATGTTCTTCCTACGAGTTCGAGTTTTTTAAACTTTAATAAATTAAGATTGAGAAAAAAAGAAGATAATTTTCACTTCTGAAAGCAATGAGAGGGAGATTGATGAAAATGTCTCTACATTCCCAATAAATGATTTTGATGATGATTCAAGTCAACTACATTCAAGTCAACACTATTCAAAATGAATTAAGGACAAGCTGAATTTAAAACGTTGATAAAAATGTGAAACATTTCCCTACATGTCCAAGATATGTTTTTGATAAAGATGATGATTTAAGCAAGCCCAAGATGATTCCTGAATACTAGATAAAGTCTTAGAATACTGGATATAGAGGTACAAGTTGATGAAGTAATATCATGTCTAAGTCTCCAATGCACAAGTGTGATAAAATTCATAACGTGATATTTTTCAATGTCATAATCAATTATGATGCATCATAAATGGAAAAATGATTTTCTCTGTCATAATTTATTATACTCGGTAACATAATCAATTATGACAATTCAAATTTGAAAAATATATTTGTTTTGAAGAATAAATATTTTTGAATATATCTTGATTTTTATTTACAAAAATACTAATGTCCAATGACCATTTTATGATGTTATTTTTCTATTTAATTAAGTTTTGATGAAAAATAAAGAATATACAATTACAGAATTCGAAAATACAATTTACATTCACACTACTAGAAAAATGGTTAATAGTGACCGAAAAATTCAGTCACTGATAGTAACTGAATCAGTGACTGATTTTTCTTTTTATATTTAGTGACTGATTTAGTGACTAAAATTTCAGTCACAGAAATCGGTCACTAATTCGGTCATCAAATCTGTCACTGATTCGGTCGAATCGGTCATCGATTCGTCATCGAATCGGTCATTGATTCGATCACTACTAGAAAAAGCTGTTAAAAGTGACTGAAATTAGTGACTGAAACATTCAATCACTAATAGTAACTCGAATCAGTAATTAATTTTCCTTTTTATATTTATTGATCGATTTAATGACTAAAATTTCAGATCACTGAACAAATAATCTCTAAATTAGTGAGTATTTTTCATTTATATAAATATTTATTAAAAATATTTTAATAGTATATTAAATATAAATCTACTTAATAATTTAAAATAATTGATAACATTTTTAATAACATTATAAATATTTTAAAAAATAGTTTAATAACTTATTGGACATATTAAATAATTTAGTAATATAATTATATAAAATTATAGAATTAATAAAATTTAAATTATTGGTAATTTTTTTAATTATTAAGCTAAAATTTGATAATATTAAAAAATAAAAAATAAATAAATTTATATATATGACTTTAATTATTTTAATTAAAATTAATTTCATGAAAAAACTAATATTTGAAAATATGAAAAAATAAAAATAAAAAAGAGATTTAAAAGATAAAATGAAAAAATTACTTTTTCAAAATAATAAGAAAAAAAAATTAAAAAGAAAAAAAAAACACTTAATCCATTATATTTTACCCTAATTTTCTTAACCATGATATCTCTCATTTCCTCTTGACCAACGCAATTCTCTTTGTGACCATGCCCTCACTCACTTTGTTTCTCCCATAAAAAAATATTTCTTAATTTTATAAATGGTATTTTTTTGGGAACCATTAATAACAGAAAAAATAAAAATAAAAACTACACATAATTAATAACTCTAACTTAAAAAGTTAAAAATCAAGTCTATTTTTTTTTCCATTGTATTTTTATTATCTAAAATTTAGAACAAATCTAAATTATGATCCTTTAAATAAAATAACAAAATATTTCCATCTTGTTTTAAAAAGAATAGAGAAAACATTGAAATTAACCGTCTAAATATACATTTAAGAAAATGAATCTTTATTCTTAAATTTAAAGAAATATTTTTGTAAAAAAATTAGATAAAAACTGATTTAATCACAAATTATAAAATTTAAGGGCTTTCTTTGTTCCGTGCAAAATGTTCATTTACTTATCCATCACTGTTTTACAGAAACCCTAATGAATAAAGCAGAGTGGATGAGAGGAACCACAACATAGTACAGAACGCAGAAACCCTAGAATACAAATCCCTAATCGCCCAAGGGCAAGAGCTTCGGCGACGATCTCCTCCTTTTCTGCGTAGTTTTTGCTACATGGGCATTCTTCAAAAGTTGCGTCTTTCTCTTTTAGCAATTTCAAGTTGTTATTTTTTTTGCTATGTTTGGAGAACTGAGTTTTACTATGGTCTTAACTACAGTCTCTGGTGGCAAACAAGGAGTTCCAGCACATTCTGCGTGTGTTAAACACGAATGTCGATGGGAAGCAGAATATTATCTTCGCTCTTACTTCTATCAAAGGTATTGGCAGGCGATTCCTCGACAACCCCACAACCATCGCGCCATCCTGCGAATCGCCTTCACCCTCGGCCCTCATTAAGCCCCCAATCCACTCTTTTCTCCCCCTTCATCTGCGCCTCCATCACAGGCCCCTTTGTACTCCCTTCACCGTGTAGCCAATCGCGCCACAACGAACCCTTCCTCAGCGGAGCCATCGCAGGCCATACTCTCCTCTTGAAGCCCTAGCACAGAACCCACACCTCCATTTTTTTCGATTGCAGCTCCTCATTGCGTGACCATCTCAGCCCCACTGCACCTCCATCCTCATACGCCACCAATTTCCAACGCATTTCCAAGATTCATGATATGCTCTTCATCGACCTCGCCACTGATGCTTAGACTTTGTATCCTTTACTCTCCCTTCTCTATTCCCTATTATTTATTTCCCCTAAAAAAATCTATATTTAACTTTTTTTTTCTTATTATTTACTTTAAGGTATCAGCGTCTGGTTTTCCGGCACAAATTGTATCAGCTTCGTCAAGAGAGGGGATATGAAGTCGAAGACCTTTGCCAGCTTGGTCTCTGCTTGCTCTATGAGAAAAGGTAATGTCATTTAGATCTATGAGAAAAAAAAAACTATTCTGGATCTCTTGAAAGTTTTGATTTTTTGTGTTTATTAATGGGGTTTTCTTAGTGGCAAGGTGTTGTCAAGTTGATGGACTGGTACAGTGGTAAGTTTCTTGTAGGCATGTAATTCCTCCACTTATCGGATTAAGCATTTGCATCTTGTACTTCAATGGCATAGCTATGTTAAACTCTTTTCTTGATGTAATTATTAAGTCTAACCTCCCTTCAAATATGTTTTATTATGGATTCATGGCACAGGATTTATTGCAATGTATGCTACTCTAGCTAGTAGGGATGTGGACTATTCTTTAATTCCAGAGTCACCGGAAAACAATGAGGGGAAGATTGATGGAAATGTCCCTACATTTTCAAGATATGATTTTGATGATGATTCAAATTAATTACATTCAAGTCAACATCATTCAAGATGAATTAAGGATAAGCTAAATTTATGACGTTGCCTAAAATATCTTTTTGATAAATATAATGATTCAAGTAAGTCCAAGATGATTCTTGAAGACTAGATAGAGTCTTAGAATACTGGATATGGAGGTATAAGTTGATGAATTAATATTATGCATAAGCCTCCAAAGCACAAGTGTGATAAAATTAATAACATGATATTTTTCTCTGTCATAATTAATTATGATGCATCAGAAATGGAAAAATGATTTTCTCTATCATAATTGATTATACTAGTAATATAATCCATTATGACAATTCAAATTTGAAAAATATATTCGTTTTAAAGAATAAATGTTTTTGAATACTTCCTGATTTTTTTTATGATATTATTAATGTCCAACGACCATTTTCTGATGTTATTTTTCTATTTAATTAAGTTTTGATGTAAAATAAAAAAAAAACACAATTATAGAATTCGAAAATACAATTTACATTCAATCAGTTTTGAGAAAAGAATTTCGAGCAAGGCAACAGAGATATTTTACACCTTCTGAGAAAACCCTCTTCTCTACTGCCTTTTGTGCTTTCATTGTTAATCACACTTGTTCTTAGAGATTGACATTTTACAGGCTTCTACAGTTTGTTGTCTCCATTACCCAGGTGTGATTATTCTTATTTTTATTACCTTCATCCTTTGTATATTGGTGGCAAATGATGTGTTTTTCATCCCTAGTATGATTCTTGGGAGGTGTTCATCCTTAATGAGATTCTAAGGAGGTGTTCATCCTTAGTGAGATTCTAAGGAGGTGTTTTCATCCTTTGATTTGTTCAAATGAGGTTTTCATCCCTAGTGTGACTCTAGGAGGTGTTCATCCTTAGTGAGATTTTAAGGAGCTGTTTTTCATCCTTTGGTTTGTTCAGAGGAGGTGTTCATCCCTAGTGAGATTCTAGGGAGGTGTTCATCCTTAGTGGGTTTCTAAGGAGGTGATTGTCTTTTTAATTAGTTTACTTTTTACTAGTTCTTCTGCTGAGTTGATTGTAATTTGTAAACTGAATTTGAAAGATAGTGAATTGGGAGTCACTCTTGTGTTAAGAGTTGACTGGAAACTGGATGTAGGGTTGGCTATACCCGAACCAATATAAATCTCTGTGTGCTCTTCTCTTTCCCTTATCTCTTTCTCTTTTCTTGATTATATTATTGTTTCCGCTTTATCTGTGTTCAAACAAATTATTGACTCACAAATAAATTTTTAATTTGATATCTATTTTAATTTGTGCATCTATTCACACTACAAGAAAAACATCAAATAGTGACCAAAAATTCGGTCACTAAATCTGCAAAATCGGTTACTAATTAAAATAGTGACCGAAATAGTGACCAACTGGAATCGGTCACTATTTCCTTGGTCACTGATTTTAGTGACCGATTCAGTGACCGATTTAGTGACCGAATCAGTGACCGAATCAGTGACCGAATCAGTGACCAATTCAGTGACCGATTCAGTGACCGAATGGAATCGGTCACTATTTCCTTGGTCACCGATTTTAGTGACCGATTCAGATGACCGATTCGATGTGATCAGAATCGATCGGTGACCGATTATATATAACCAAATCGGTCATCGAATCGGTCACTAAATCAATGAAAAAGTTATTCAATAACAAATTTAATTCTTTTTATTTATTTACACTTTTATTATATCTATTATTTATTTTCCCTATCTCTTAATTATATTATATTTTGCTTATTTAAGTTTTTATTTATATTTATTTCCCTATCTTTATTATATTTTTTAGAAGTTTAACTTATTATTAGGTGGTTTATTGTCATTGTCAGGATTCGAACCCGATACCTTAGAGTTGGAGGCTGAAACTCCAACCACTGAGCTACTTAGGATCTTTTAATAATAACTTACAAATAAATTATATTTATATACAAATAAATGTATATCCAGTATAAATATATAAATATAAAATCTATAAATAAAAATATATTTATATATTTTAATATATAAAATTTACAAATAATGGTATATTAGTATAGTATCGTATATTTGTATTCTAATTTTTAATTAAATTAAAATTATGCTAATAATGTATATTAATATATGAGGGGATAATATTGATATATTTGTATATATATATATATATATATATATATATATATATTTATATATTTATATATTAATATATTTATATATTAATATATTTATATTTTTATATTTTTATATTTTTATATTTTGATATATTTATATATTTATTTATATCCTTATACATTTATATCTTTATATATTTATATATTTGAAAAAAAAATATTAAATTTTAAAAATAATATTATATTTTTAAAAATAAATATTAGAAAAAGATTTAAAAATATATATAAATTATATTTACATTTACAAAATATTAAAGATATATGTTTATATCTTTACATATTTATATATATTTATATGTTTATATTTTTACATATATTTATATCTTTCCATATTTATATATAAAGATATTAGTTTTGTATACAAATAATATTATAATATAGTATATTATACTATTAGTATAGTATACAAATAATATGTTAGTATAGTATAGTATACAAATTATTAATTTTGTAATTTATATACAATGAAAATAATATAATGGTACATTGGTATAGTATATTTGTATTCTAATTTTTAAATAAACTAAAATTACGCTAAATGTATAATAATATATGAGAGGATAATAAATTTAATCCAATTACTTTTATAAATATATAAATATAAAATCTATAAAATATTAAAAATGATATTATATTTTTAAAAACAAATATTAGAAAAAGGTTTAAAAACTAGTATTATCTTAAATTTATTAAAAGTATAATTAAATCTCTATTTTCTTAATTTTTTTTTTAAACTTCTCAATTCTACATTTTTATAAGTTCTATCATTATATTATATCATCCTCATCTCCTCCCATGTTCTACTTTATCTTTACAATAGTCAATATTCTTAACTAATTTATAGTTTTAATTATAATTTTTTAGTATATATTTAGAAATTAATCAATTCTAATCTATTATTTGAAAAACTAATCAATTCTAATCAATAATTTAGAAAACTAATCGATTATAATTAATTATTTGAAAAAAATTATCAAATATGATCGATTATTTCGAAAATATAATCGATCAGAATCAATTATCGCTCGAGCGAGAATAAACTCGCTCAAGCGAAATACAACATGAGAGTACCAATTTTGTGCAAGGAGCGTTTCGCTCGAGCGAGAAAGTTGTCGCTCAAGCGAGATACACTTTAGATAGCGGTTACACAGAACCGCTCTTAAAAGCTCACTTAGATAGCAGTTAACCTTTGAACCGCTATTATATGGTTTCAATTATGATCGGTCAAAATGCAATTATGACCGATCATAACTATTTTAATCGATTAAAATCTAGTTTCAATCGATTAAAACAATTTCTACACGATGTTTTAATCGATTATAACTTATTTTTATCGAGTTAAAATAACTTGAAAACTTATATTAACTATTTTTTTATATTATGTTTTTAAATTTTCTATTAGAGAAAACCTTTCAAAATTCAAAATGTTAAATACTTTTAAATATTAAAATTAACTTTATCAAAAATTAGGAAAAAAAATAATCCCAAACAAGTTCAAAAATGTATTATAACATTGTCAATTTTGAGTTTAATTATATTGTTCATTCTCAAAGTAAAAAAATATATTGTAATTATTTTAATTTAATAAAATATAATTTAAAATTTTAATACTAAAATTAAAAGATTAAATAATAATAAATTTAATTCTTTAAATTCAGATAGTTAGAAACTAAAATTATAGTTTCTCTGTTTTAAATAATTAAAAAAAATATTAAAAAAAATCAAAACTAGTATTATCTTAAATTTATTAAAAGTGTAATTAAATATCTATTTTCTTAATTTTATTTGTTTCAAACTTCTCAATTCTACATTTTTGTAAGTTCTATCATTATATTATCATCCTCATCTCCTCCAGTGTTCTACTTTATCTTTACAATAGTCAATATTCTTAACTAATTTATAGTTTTAATTATAATTTTTTAGTATATATTTCAAAAATTAATCAATTCTAATCTATTATTTGAAAAACTAATCAATTCTAATCAATAATTTAGAAAACTAATCGATTATAATTAATTATTTGAAAAAATTATCAAATATGATCGATCATTTCGAAAA